AAGGAGTAATGTGACCTCCTGTGTTTACCTAATAGAGGTTACCTCACTACGACAAGTGAGGTTTAGCTCTCGGTTCACATCTACATGTCTTGCTGTACTCTAACGATATAATTGTTTGTTGAATCTGGTCTTAAACTTGAAGGTGGAGGTGGCACTCAAGTCGCGGATCACTCATGCAGGATACGAGTATTTCGTCAGAATGAATGAGTGAATGAGTGAGGAGTGAGTATAGAAGACACCAACCATTGTCTTCCTCTAACTTTATCTCCATCTCTATGTTTATCTATATATTTATCTTTTCATCCATAGCATTATTATTATTATTTTCATTTCTCTTCTCCTTTCCTCCTCCGCCTCTCCCCTCCTCCCCCTCCCCCTCCTCCTCCTCTTCCCCCTCCCCTTCCTCCTCCCCTTCCCCCCTCCCCTTCCCCCCCCTCCCTTCCCCCCTCCCCTTCCCCCTCCCCTTCCCCCTCCCCTTCCCCCTCCCCTTCCCCCTCCCCTTCCCCCTCTTACTGACCCTTTTAACGTCCTGTTTGAAGCATTCATGAAGTTATGATCGCCATAGGAACCCTTTATCTTCCCATTACCGAAGGTAAACAGAGTGAGAGATGGGGGTGATGGGAGACTGGTACTCTCTCTCTCTCTCTCTCTCTCTCTCTCTCTCTCTCTCTCTCTCTCTCTCTCTCTCTCTCTCTCTCTCTCTCTCTCTCTCTCTCCTCTCCCTCCATCCTTCTCACTTTCTCCCAGCGCTACCTCAATCATTTTTTATACACAACATCTCTAAACTTTCTTCATCTCACTCGTGAAGATCTCTGACAGCATCCGGACCTTCCACCTGATTTGGCCAATTATCTGTCAACTTTGTCAGCAGGGAGCAGGGGAGGTGGGGGCTTGGGAGGGAAGATGTGGGCTTGGATGCCTGACAGCTGGGTGGACAGCGTTTCGAATTCATAGTCCTGAGGTTCCGGGTTCGATCCCCGGTAGAGGCGGAGACAAATGGGCAAAATGTTTCTTTCACCCCTGATGTCCCTGTTACCTAGTGGTAAATAGGTACCTGGGAGTTAAACAGCTGCTACGGGCTGCTTCCTAGGGTGTGTGTTACAAAAAGGAGGCCTGGTCGAGGACCGGGCCGCGGGGACGCTAAGCCCCGAAATCATTTCAAGATAACCTTCAAGATTGGATGGGAGGATAAGTGGATTGTGAGTGGGCTGGATTGACGGGTGGGTGGCAGGGATGGAGTGATAGATGGATATGAATGGTGGATCATTCACTGGATGGGTTGACCAGAACACTTTAACATTGGTTGCTGGATAGTTGAACTAGTGAACGTTTGCTAACTAATTGAGGGTTGAATGATTAAGTTGCAAACTGAACAGTTGATATTATTATTAAATCCCTGAATGACTAAATTACTAAACGATCGACTGGCTAAATTACTAACTGGTTGACTAACAGTCTGATGGATTTCCAAACTGATTGGTTAACCAACATGATGGATATATCCTTTAACAGTTGAATGACTGACGGATTGACTGTTTGACTAATTGACTGATTGGTGGACTAACTGTTCACCTCATTACCCAATCACTATCAGCTTATAAAACACACGTAAGCTCATCAATTCTATTACGGGCTATTCATGCCCGTGCCACCTCTTGGGTGGCTTAATCTTCATCAATCATCATCTCTAGAAATGATTCTAGTCATCATCCAGATACCCAAAGTCATCACCCACGTACCCAAAGTCATCACACCAAACCATACATCAGCCAGGTAGCTAAATACATCAGTGTTGTATCCATATACATCTGAAATACATACGAACAATTAAACAAAGTATGAAAAGCCCCATGTAAACATGTAAAGTAACCTATTAAAATATGTATATATATATATATATATATATATATATATATATATATATATATATATATATATATATATATATATATATATGTCGTACCTAATAGCCAGAACGCACTTCTCAGCCTACTATTCAAGGCCCAATTTGCCTAATAAGCCAAGTTTTCATGAATTAATGTTTTTTCGTCTACCTAACCTACCTAACCTAACCTAACCTAGCTTTTTTTGGCTACCTAACCTAACCTTACTTATAAATATAGGTTAGGTTAGGTTAGGTAGGGTTGGTTAGGTTCGGTCATATATCTACGTTAATTTTAACTCCAATAAAAAAAAAATGACCTCATACATAGAGAAAAGGGTTTGCTTTATCATTCATAAGAAAAAAATTATAGTAAATATATTAATTCAGGAAAACTTGGCTTATTTGGCAAATCGGGCCTTGAATAGTAGGCTGAGAAGTGAGTTCTGGCTACTAGGTACGACATATATATATATATATATATATATATATATATATATATATATATATATATATATATATATATATATATATATATATATATAGCTTCAATGTGCTGTTTTAAAGAGCCGTTGCAATTCAACTTCCCCTTCTCCCTGTGCTGTAGTTGTGTGGTACCTCATCATTCCTGTTGATTGGTCTCTTCTCCCCACCTTCCCTTTCGTCATTTCCTTCGTTTCCTCTCTCTCTCTCTCTCTCTCTCTCTATCTCCCATTCACTCTCCCTCACGTCATCCCGTCTCTCTTATCTCATCAAATTTTAGCGAAGTTCATTCCAGCTTCACCCCATCTTCTCACTACCCATTCCAGCAACGCTTCTCTTCCTCTCTTCTTTCCCTCGTCCTTCCTTCCCCTTCTTCTCTTTCTTCCCACTCACTTCTCACTTGTCTTCCTCTGTCTATCTTCATTTCACCGCCCTCTCTCTCTCTTTTTTTCTCTCTCCCTATTTTCTTTTTTCCCATTTCCTGACTTCTTCTCTACTTTCCACTCTTCCTCCCTTCTACTCTTCCTTCATTCATCCCACTGCCTTTCTCCTCCCTTTCCATAGTGTAGTGACGGCCGATAATTACTTTCACAGCATTATACTGTTTCAACACGAGCGTCTAACCTGATATAATTAAATCCCTGATTGATCTTTTTAATAGTATAATTTTCATTCTCTTTGTGTGTGTGTGTGTGTGTGTGTGTGTGTGTGTGTGTGTGTGTGTGTGTACTCACCTATTTGTGCTTGCGGGGGTTGAGCTTTGGCTCTTTGGTCCCGCCTGATGTTGGTGTGTGTGTGTGTGTGTGTGTGTGTGTTTACTAGTTGTGTTTTGCGGGGGTTGAGCTTTGCTCTTTCGGCCCGCCTCTCAACTGTCAATCAACTGTTTACTAACTACTTTTTTTTTTTTTTTCCCCACACCACACACACACACCCCAGGAAGCAGCCCGTGACAGCTAACTAATTCCCAGGTACCTATTTACTGCTAGGTAACAGGGGCACTTAGGGTGAAAGAAACTTTGCCCATTTGTTTCTGCCTCGTGCGGGAATCGAACCCGCGCCACAGAATTACGAATCCTGCGCGCTATCCACCAGGCGTGTGTGTGTGTGTGTGTGTGTGTGTGTGTGTGTGTGTGTGTGTGTGTGTGTGTGTGCATCTTTCGTTCTTTCTATCAACGTCTCTCACTACATAAAAGAATTTATCGCTTACAGTTAACTGGCCAAACTGCTGATAGTCAAATAACCGACATATGTCAACCTATTTATACTCATTTTCCCTCTCCTTACTCCTCACACAGTGGAGGAGTAAGGAGTGACGTCACCAAGTAAACAAGGGAACCAGAGCGGTGAGTGTAATTGTCTGTAAGTCATTACAACCGCTGCTTCTCTCTGTGTTTATCTTTGTCTCCCTCTTCTCCCACACTCTTATACCTCCTTTGTCAACACTTATCCCCCCCCCTCCCCCATCTCTGCTTCTCCATTCGCTTCTCCTTCTATTCTCCATTCTTCCTCCTCGTTCTATTCGTATTGCTACTAACCCTCCTTCCACATCCCCCAGCGCCCCAGCCTCCACCCACCTCCCACCAGATTCAATACACAAACCGCCAGATACAACAGTTGAACAAGTCACAGAGCACATGCACAAAATAGCTTGTGCTCGGCGGATTGGGGGACCGGGAAGTCCTGCACGTGACCTTGATCCAAGTTACTCAGGCCCATCAGGATGAGGATCAGGAACGTGTTGATTAGGCAGATAAGAGTCCAGCTTCTGGCTCGTCGAGCCTACTAACATGTGCCACTTCAGGAAGCTGAGAAAATGGCCGTGATGTGTGTTTGGGTCAAGGTTTAAAGGATAATGGTCCGGCAGAATACATTGTCAATGCTAAGCTTTTGTATCGAAGAAAAGGCTCTTTCGGAAATTAATCAGACAATGGATTCGGGGGAAGAAGCAGCGGATACAGGCAAAGAAGATCGCCAGAGTTCAACTACACTGAGGCAAGAACTCATCAGATGAAAGTTCTTTCAGTGTTCAAGTGCTGGATAAATGTGGCACTTCAGGATAGTGCCCAAACTGAACAAACTGGCCAGGATCAGGAAGTGTCTCGGGTGAACAGCCAACCTTCAGGAGAAATAGTTCAGACTTGAGAACCGAGACGTGAGGGGGTGTCGTCTTCTACTCCCATTTTGAGGGAGGAGTTAGGTTACAGAAGCCAACCATTGGGAAATGAGACCCTCAGGAAGGAGCCAAAGTCTTATATGGACGATGGACCTCTAAAGACACAATTCAGTAACGAGAGCACAGAAGAAAGTCAAAGAGGAACCAGCAGTGGATCAGTTACTGAAAGACTTCTTTCAGTAACTGATCCACTGTAGCCATAGACTTAAGCCATAGACTCCATGGCTTCTCTTGAGATCCCAGGAGTGAGAGGTGTGTTTCAAGGTGTGTAAACAAGGTGTTGCTCTATGTTAAGGAAGGAACCACAACCAAGGAGCAACACTTAGGTGTGAGGACCATTACTAGGGCACAGTATTTCCCTACAAGTGAATCTTATAAAAAAAATTCTACAGTGTAATGTGCAGTGTAAATAAATCCTGATTAGTTCAGTGCACAAAAATAGCACTACTTCAATCCATCTCAGAAGTAAACTGACCATTAATATTATGTCAGTGCAGAAAATATGAATCATTTCACAAATGAAGAAAAAAGTATTTGAGTTCTTAGAAATTTCCTTCTTAAAAAGAAGAGACAGGGAAAGAGATAGAGAGAGAGAGAGAGAGAGAGAGAGAGAGAGAGAGAGAGAGAGAGAGAGAGAGAGAGAGAGAGAGAGAGAGAGAGAGAGAGAGAGAGAGAGAGAGAGAGAGAGGGTGAAACTTGAAACGAAAGAGGAGAGAGAGGTGAGGCAAGAAGTGGAATGGGAATGTGAAAAGAAACAAGGTGGCCGGGGAAGTGGAGATAAAACACGTGAGAAGAGGGAGAGAAGAGAGTAAAGAGGGGAGAGGGGAGAGGGGAAAGGGGAGAGGGGAAAGGGGAGAGGGGAAAGGACAAAAGATCATGAAGGGGCTTTTCTATGGAGCTTCTAGTCCTGTCTTCTGACTCATTCTTCACTTCCACCCACCACCCACTACCCACTACCCACCACCCACTACCCACTACCACCTGACCAACTCCCACACTTCACTAAGCACCATCCACTAATCACCACTCGCAACCCATTACACCAGTACCCAACCCCCAATCACCCACTACCTATACTGCCATTCACCCAATGAACCTCAATCACTGCCCACAACACACTAACCACAATCCATCCTCCCTCCTACCCTCTTCCATCTCTTCCTTCTCATCCTGCAACCCACTCTCCTCCTTTTGTATTCATCTCGTCTTTTCACGACCATCGTTCCACCTTTCCCATCAGCTTTTTGACTGCTTTGACATGAGGTAATGGACAGAGGTAAGCTTACCTTTAGCTGTGTCTTGACGACAGTTGTTGAGGGAGCGAACTACCTCGTTCAGAATATTTGCCTACTGGTAGCACCATTATCCACCTGCAAAGAGGTCAATAGGAAAGGTCATCGTCCACCTGCAACAAAGTCAAGAGGAAGCATAATCACCTCACCCCAGGCTATATTAAAGCTGGAATATATATATATATATATATATATATATATATATATATATATATATATATATATATATGTCGTACCTAGTAGCCAGAACTCACTTCTCAGCCTACTATTCAAGGCCCGATTTGCCTAATAAGCCAAGTTTTCATGAATTAATATATTTACTATAATTTTTTTCTTATGAAATGATAAAGTAACCCTTTTCTCTATGTATGAGGTCAATTTTTTTTTATTGGAGTTAAAATTAACGTAGATATATGACCGAACCTAACCAACCCTACCTAACCTAACCTAACCTATCTTTATAGGTTAGGTTAGGTTAGGTAGCCGAAAACGTTAGGTTAGGTTAGGTTAGGTAGTCGAAAAACAATTAATTCATGAAAACTTGGCTTATTAGGCAAATCGGGCCTTGCATAGTAGGCATAGAAGTGAGTTCTGGCTACTAGGTACGACATATATATATATATATATATATATATATATATATATATATATATATATATATATATATATATATATATATATACACCTAATTCATATATTAAAAGTGAAGACTTATTTTTGCATCCCCCAACCATCTAGAGGAATGGCCTACCACACTGTGCTCTTCCAGACATGTTCGAGTTCAAAATAATCATTAACAACCGGGGGAACTTTGCCTTGAACTTGCCTTTCAAACTTGACCAAATTTCCTTCTCCAAGTTTGAACAGTGTTGAGGAGACAAAGTTGGCCTGTGAAATGACCTATTCTACAATAGTGTTTACATGAGAGAGAAGCAGTGTTGCTGACAAGGCGTCACATGGACGAGAAGTCTCCTTAAATAGAAGTCACACGAATGAGAAGTCACATGAATGAGAACTTCAAATACAATAATTTTGTAGCAAAATTTGATGTTGTTAAAGTTTGTCCAAACTCTATATTCGTGTAAGAAAATGCATGTTTGTTTGTCCGAGGTTAGACGCCAGACACTTGCGGCTAGCCTCACAGAACTTTGCATGGTGATTGACAAAGGTTAGGTGACTAACATGGGTGTGTCCAGGTAGACCCTTTCCCCCTTGATCGTATTAAAAGGGGATCGGCTCCTATGGTGATCACCCACCACGAAACCGGTGGAAGGTGGCTAGCTGAGCCCCTACAATTTACTAACGGAGTCGACACCTTCTCCCCTCCCCCCCCCCCGCATGACAGAGCCTTTGGTGCCCAGGTCGTAGCCCAAGCTCCCAGCACTAAAACTGAATAACTTTTTGGGAGGGAACCCGGCGGTGCCCGGGTTCCAAGTATAACATGTAACAAGGTAATTACCAAGACGGCTCTTCTTAGCACCTATAGTATCAGTGATATTTACATAATCAATCTACATATAAATAAAATAATTTGAAGACATTAACATGGTTTTCAAAACCAGAAAAATGTTGGAAACAATTTACATTATTAGGGGGAAACTCCTGATTTTGTTGTAGTGAGAAAATTCACGCTAAAATTATCCCATGTATACCACTTTTATCTGATTTTGAAAAAAATAGTTAATACCTTAACCTTTAAAAGATTGACATGTTGCATATTAGTTTTGCGAACGGCGTTTGAAAATTGACAGCACGAAGGAGCCCTGGTAATGATACATGTGTCAAATGCAGACGAGGAGTCACAATAACGTGGCTGAAGTATGTTGACCAGACCACACACTAGAAAGTGAAGGGACGACGATGTTTCGGTTCGTCCTGGACCATTCTCAAGTCGATTGATTCTCACAATCGACTTGAGAATGGTCCAGGACGGACCGAAACGTCGTCGTCCCTTCACTTTCTAGCGTGTGGTCTGGTCAACATACATGTGTCATTCTATGCACCTGGGTTGTAGGGGTCACGAACCCTGGTCCCCGCGCCTGTGAGACCCAGGTGAATGAAATGTTCATTTCCAAGGAAGTGAGGATAACAATTTACACATGTGTCATTTACAAAGTATCACGTAAATGTAGCTTCGAAACGTTGTGTAATTTTATAATAAGTGTAATATATTCTATAGTTATTTATATATTTTTACTTCACCTCGAAGGAAGATGACTTTTTGGAGAACTCCTCTTCCAATTAGACCAAGAGGGATAGTCAGAGGAATAGAAGCCCTAAACAATAAAATAATCAAAATAATAATAATGTAATACATATTACATCAAATAAACTTAAACAAAAAAAAATAAAACATAATTTCTAAACAAATTATGCCAGAAATAATAATAATATATCTGACGTTTCATTCAATCATTTTACTGAAAATTCTCACCATATATAATGGTAGGGTTCTACCCCCGATTGTAAGAATTTTTTAAATAAATCAATGTCCAAGTGTTTTGATACAAAAGACTAAACCATGTCAACATAAATACCAGTAATGGACTACAATATCCTGATTTAGTTTTATTTAATTTATTAAAATAAAATATCTTTGTAAGAGGATTACTTGACAATTATACACATTGAGAAGTTGTGCAATATATGCAACACTTTGAACCTGATCCTACGTAATCTAGACTTTGTTCCTTCACCTCACCTGTGAATATATATTCACTCGCATTATGTATTTATCCACCATTTGGTCACCATTTGGTCCGGGAGACATCTCCCGTCACGCAGGGTGCAGTTGCGCCTCCACAGATCTCCAGTATCATCTTTTGATACTGGTAATGGCTCAAAAGGGCCACCACTTACGGGCTATTCAAGCCCGTGCCACCTCTTGGGTGGCTTAATCTTCATCAATCAATCTTATGTATTTATTCACCATCTGGTCACCACTTGGTCCGGGAGACATCTCCCGTCACGCAGGGTGCAGTCGCGCCTCCACAGATCTCCAGTATCAGCTCTTGATACTGGTAATGGCTCAAAAGGGCCACCACTTACGGGCTATTCATGCCCGTGCCACCTCTTGGGTGGCTTAATCTTCATCAATCAATCAATCTATGTAATATTCACGGGAGACATCTCCGGTCACACAGGGTGCAGTCGCACCTCCACAGATCTCCAGTATCAGCTCTTGATACTGGTAATGGCTCCAAAGGGCCACCTCTTACGGGCTATTCATGCCCGTGCCACCTTTTGGGTGGCTTAATCTTCATCAATCAATCAATCTATTATTGTTGCTTTTGACCCAAATATCACTATTCATTCGTAAAAGCCTGGTTTGTGCCTCGGAGAAGCTATGGGATCCAGTAAGTTCAGTAGAACTTCGGTTTCAACCCTTTTACCCTGTCGTAGCTCAGTCGATTAAGGCTGAGGGTGTCTGGGATGCTCCCGGACGCAGGTTCGAATCCTCGTCACGGCCCTTGTGGATTTTTTCTCAGATTAGCTGGAGTAATGTGACAAGTGGGGTTCCTCCAAGGCTGGGTCTTGGGTTCCCTGCTGTTCCTAATTAATGTAAATGACCGTCCCCAGGGAACGAGTATATGTCAGTGTTCCCGGATGACACAAGGATGGTGAGGAATGGATAAACTGAGGAGTGACTTCACAAAATTACACGAAGACGTCACAATAACGTGGCTGAAGTATGTTGACCAATCCACACACTAGAAAAATCGACTTGAGAATGGTCCAGGACGGACCGAAACGTCGTCGTCCCTTCACTTTCTAGTGTGTGGATTGGTCAACTTACACGAAGACCTAAACAAACTTCAGGAAAGGGCAGACAAATGCTTGCTAGAGTTCACTCCTAACAATTGTAAGGTAACGAAGATGCCAAAGAGAGAAAAGAGACACGCATGGCAAGTACAGGAATAAGACACAGAGAAAAATATAATGGCAAATGGAAATAATTACAGCACTAACACCAGATTCACACTTAGACATGGTAACATCGGCACCATATGAGACGCTGCCAACCATTACAACGTCATTTAAGAACCTAAATCATTACTCTTTTAAGACCATCTATACACCCTACTTTAGACCAGTTCTAGAATATGTTGAATCGGCCTGAAATTCACACTTTGTGAAGCACAAGACCCAAAAATTAAAAAACTCCACAGATTTCCCAAAACATAGTGCCAGAACTAAAAAAAAACTTACACTACATAAACAAATTAAGCGAAGCAAATATCAAAATCCTAGAAGGGGAATTACACATGAAAAAAACATGATCCCAACATGCACGATACTCTTCTAACCCCGTAGCCGCTATTGGGACATCCCTATTAGGACATCACCGTTAGGTAGGCACCAACATCACCTCTGACCTCATCGCCATAATGGAGCCAGGCGGTATGGGTCAGGATATAACCTCTGACGAATGAGTTAGGGGCGTGTAGTTAAATATCTCTCCTGCCATGACTGACCCTCACCACCAATCCTTCTTCATCAAGTCATTTTACAGTAATAAAACACATAAGGCCTGATAGAACATTATCCTCGGTCAATAAGGCCTGATAGAACATTATCCTCGGTCAATAAGGCCTGATAGAACATTATCCTCGGTCAATAAGGCCTGATAGAACATTATCCTCGGTCAATAAGGCCTGATAGAACATTATCCTCGGTCAATAAGGCCTGATAGAACATTATCCTCGGTCAATAAGGCCTGATAGAACATTATCCTCGGTCAATAAGGCCTGATAGAACATTACCCCGGTCAATAAGGCCTGATAGACCATTACCCCGGTCAATAAGGCCTGATAGAACATCACCTCGGTCAATAAGGCCTGATAGAACATCACCTCGGTCAATAAGGCCTGATAGAACATCACCTCGGTCAATAAGGCCTGATAGAACATTACCTCGGTCAATAAGGCCTGATAGAACATTATCCTCGGTCAATAAGGCCTGATAGAACATTATCCTCGGTCAATAAGGCCTGATAGAACATTACCCCGGTCAATAAGGCCTGATAGACCATTACCCCGGTCAATAAGGCCTGATAGAACATCACCTCGGTCAATAAGGCCTGATAGAACATCACCTCGGTCAATAAGGCCTGATAGAACATCACCTCGGTCAATAAGGCCTGATAGAACATTATCCTCGGTCAATAAGGCCTGATAGAACATCACCTCGGTCAATAAGGCCTGATAGAACATTATCCTCGGTCAATAAGGCCTGATAGAACATTACCTCGGTCAATAAGGCCTGATAGAACATTATCCTCGGTCAATAAGGCCTGATAGAACATCACCTCGGTCAATAAGGCCTGATAGAACATTATCCTCGGTCAATAAGGCCTGATAGAACATTACCTCGGTCAATAAAGCCTGATAGAACATTATCCTCGGTCAATAAGGCCTGATAGAACATTATCCTCGGTCAATAAGGCCTGATAGAACATTACCTCGGTCAATAAGGCCTGATAGAACATTACCTCGGTCAATAAGGCCTGATAGAACATTACCTCGGTCAATAAGGCCTGATAGAACATTACCTCGGTCAATAAGGCCTGATAGAACATTATCCTCGGTCAATAAGGCCTGATAGAACATTATCCTCGGTCAATAAGGCCTGATAGAACATTATCCTCGGTCAATAAGGCCTGATAGAACATTACCTCGGTCAATAAGGCCTGATAGAACATTACCTCGGTCAATAAGGCCTGATAGAACATTACCTCGGTCAATAAGGCCTGATAGAACATTACCTCGGTCAATAAGGCCTGATAGAACATTATCCTCGGTCAATAAGGCCTGATAGAACATTATCCTCGGTCAATAAGGCCTGATAGAACATTATCCTCGGTCAATAAGGCCTGATAGAACATTATCCTCGGTCAATAAGGCCTGATAGAACATTACCTCGGTCAATAAGGCCTGATAGAACATTATCCTCGGTCAATAAGGCCTGATAGAACATCACCTCGGTCAATAAGGCCTGATAGAACATTATCCTCGGTCAATAAGGCCTGATAGAACATCACCTCGGTCAATAAGGCCTGATAGAACATCACCTCGGTCAATAAGGCCTGATAGAACATCACCTCGGTCAATAAGGCCTGATAGAACATTACCTCGGTCAATAAGGCCTGATAGAACATTACCACCGGTCAATAAGGCCTGATAGAACATTACCACCGGTCAATAAGGCCTGATAGAACATTACCCCGGTCAATAAGGCCTGATAGAACATTACCACCGGTCAATAAGGCCTGATAGAACATTACCTCGGTCAATAAGGCCTGATAGAACATTACCTCGGTCAATAAGGCCTGATAGAACATTACCACCGGTCAATAAGGCCTGATAGAACATTACCACCGGTCAATAAGGCCTGATAGAACATTACCCCGGTCAATAAGGCCTGATAGAACATTACCACCGGTCAATAAGGCCTGATAGAACATTACCCCGGTCAATAAGGCCTGATAGAACATTACCACCGGTCAATAAGGCCTGATAGAACATTACCACCGGTCAATAAGGCCTGATAGAACATTACCTCGGTCAATAAGGCCTGATAGAACATTACTTCGGTCAATAAGGCCTGATAGAACATCACCTCGGTCAATAAGGCCTGATAGAACATTACTTCGGTCAATAAGACCTGATAGAACATTACCTCGGTCAATAAGGCCTGATAGAACATTACTTCGGTCAATAAGGCCTGATAGAACATTACCCCGGTCAATAAGGCCTGATAGAACATTACTTCGGTCAATAAGGCCTGATAGAACATCACCTCGGTCAATAAGGCCTGATAGAACATCACCTCGGTCAATAAGGCCTGATAGAACATTATCCTCGGTCAATAAGGCCTGATAGAACATTACCACCGGTCAATAAGGCCTGATAGAACATTACCTCGGTCAATAAGGCCTGATAGAACATCACCTCGGTCAATAAGGCCTGATAGAACATTACCACCGGTCAATAAGGCCTGATAGAACAT